CTAAATAATTGATGTAATTGATTTAACGGCACAATAATTTATTTGTCAAACTTCTTTTTGACCCTATAATTTATTTTAATTTGCCAGTTATATATTTATACATTTATTTCCAATAATGATAGGTTCTGTCCTCCATACATGTGTTGGTKCATCGCTGCAATGAGCCAACACATGATGACATGAAAATGACATCCAGCCTAATAATATTACCTGATCATTGGTGCTCGCAGGAGAAGAGGAGGCCATGATGAATCAGGGTGTGGATGTTTGCTCCCACCTCTGCTGCCACTGTCAGTCTGGTGGTCAGCTTCAGGATTACAAAACTGCAGAATTGACCACCAAGTGGTGGTCTGTGTTGAGCTGTCAGTCGTGATTCTACACCTCCTGTCATCTGAGGCCAGGTGGTCTTACTTTATTTAGTGTTAAAATAGCAGACTATACTCTGCTCTACTCAAAGCAATTTTATTGTTCATCATCTGCCTGTTTAATTAAATAATACAACATATAAAAGTTTTACTTTATAAAGAAAAACAAATGGAATAATAAAATAACAAGCACATCCATTATAATTGAGGTCATAGTTCAGGTTAGGGATGAGTCTATGACATCATTGTTTTCAAAATGTTTCGTTTAGGCCCAATGGGAATGTAATGGAGGCATTTCTAGATCTTCTCACTCTGGATTCCAGTAAAAAACATTCAGTGGTTTCTAAAAATCTGTTTGTGTGTGGARAAAAGGCTCAAACAATTAAAAGCCATTGCATATCCACAAAACTCTGTTTCTGTGTTCACGAGGTTTGACCTCAGRCAGGCCAGAAAGATGGCAGCCCATCCTGAGCCTGGTTCTGCTGAATGGGTTAGACAAAGTGCAGATTTAACACAGTCTGAGGGCTTCCTTGGAAAGATAACTTGTTGATTTTATTTACCCTTTGAACTCATTTACAGCAAGTAGCTAAGGGYAAATTAATGAAAGTGTATTTTGCAAAATATGTTATTAGTCATTGAAATTAGGCGTTCTACAGAAACATGATAAGCTGTCCTGAGAACAACAAGAACAGTTAAAAAAAACTAATGAAAGTTTAAATAAATGAAGGTATTTTGCAAGCAGCTATGCTGATCTATGATATGTGTGAGAGCGATTAGGGCCTCCTTTACAGAAAAACTGTCAAAACATGTTTTTGACATCAAAGTGGAATCAAATGTTTACAGATTAATCCAAATTAAACGACAGAGAAATGGAAGGATTATGGGACATGAGATGAGATATCTGATAAATTATTCACTAAAAACTCTACATCCTGTTTGTATCGTGTCATTTCTGACTTCTTTCTGTTTTAGGCAATTCATAGCTAGTTTTTATTTTTGATACACACGGTTTCTTCAAATTTTTTTGTTTTTGTAGTTTTAATTTCTTTTGCACATTGTAATACTACAGCACATTTCATTCAGCAATGAAATTATGGTTTTTGTGGGGCTTCTGTGAGCTCCCAACAGATCCAAGACAGCATCATACCTGAAGGCTTGAAGCCTGTCAGCTGCACCACCTGAAACAGGAAGATAATCACATAAAAACCCACGTTAAACACATGTGCAGGTGGAGTCATGGAATAATGATAGAGCATACATGTTACTCACTTGGTTTCCTGATACTTGTTTCAAAGAAAAACGCACAAAACTCTCTTTTCTGAAACTTTCTGAAAGAAATAAAAGGAGAAAACAAACAACTGAATTGAAGATCTGTGTTTCAGGATCCACACATTTGTTTATGCAAGGTCAAATCAAGTGAGACAAAGTCAAGCTCAGTACAAAACAAAGAAAGCTTTATAAAACTCACAGAAAACAAAAAAATACTAACAATCTGAACAACAAAGGCAGTTTATGAGAATTTTTAGTTTGAATTATTTCACTTTAGTTGGCAGATTTGCTTTGTCAGTTCTTCTGATGTTTACAACATGGCTGCTGTTTAGTGAAGACTTTACTMGTTCAACTGCTGCTTCTGTGGGTTTTCTGAGTACTTGGTTTCCTCCCACAGTTCAAAACCATACATGTCAGGATAACTAGGAATTTTAAATTGTCCTTAGATGTGACTTTGCAAATGYTTGGTCCTTTTGGCAGTGGCCTGTACAGGGTCTCTTAAAAAGTTGTTAAAATAAATCCATTGGACTTCTTTTCTGTAGCTGATATTTAGATTCATACTTGAAGAGTTTTTCATTTCAAAAGTTTCATGTTCCAATTTTAAAGCTGAATGGAATGACACATTTATGCAAGATAAAACTGACCCAGACCATCGGGGAAAATAAACTCTGGTCCATTTAAAGTGGACCAAATGTGTAAGATGTGAATATGCTATGTTTTAGAAAAATAAAAAACAAAACCTCCTTTGTCTAGACGGTACCTTTTAGGTTTAGCTCCCTTGAACTATGAATGAATTAGCAAATACAGAAAATGCACACATTCACAAGTGTCCTCATACAGGTAGTTCTAAACAATGAACCATTTAACCCTAATTTTATGTCAGTCTGATATTTTGCAGCAGCATCTGCTGTCTAATGTTCAGCTCTCATTTTTATTGACAAGTTTCAGTGCAGGCGATAATTCTTTATAGCAGAACAACCTTTAAAAGGCTTTCATAAGCCCTTGATCAGGCCAGCCTTCTCTAGAATGTCAGTTACTCCCTTCTTGTGCTGATGGTACGAGCTGTGCAGAAACTTGTCCTTCACTTAGCAGTGTGTGAAAGATTTTCAGTATTGCAAATTTCCTTTTTGTGGTTGGAATAAATAGAAGCTACTGTATGTTCTGAACACCAAAGAAAAAGCAAAAATTCACAGTTTTGAACCAAAATCATCTTACGTTGAGAAAAACATGTTATGACTGTCAGTTTCATGTGATATTGTGAAATCTAGTGAAATGTGTAAGCACTCAGAGATGTGTTAGATGAAGATGACTATCAGATAATATCACTTAAAATTTAGTTCATTGTGAGTAAAACTGYTTGAGGTATTGCCATTTTTGTGCCGGCTAATGTCAATTAGTAATGGCAATGTTGAATTAGGTTGAATCCAAATGTTAATAATTTGTACAAATACAGGCAATCAAACAACACAATAAGTAGGTCATCTGGATGGGTTCTTCTTTAATGGARCGTTTCGTCTCTCCTTCAAAAGACTCCTTCAGTCTGAGGAGTTTCAGGTAAACTCAACTTTCTGAGCACAGCCTCCACATGGTGGACAAACAGGTTTAACAATGAATATCACTATTTAATTAAAAAATATGGAGCTTAAAACRGAGGGAGTCATCAAGCAAGAACTCAAGATATTTTTATGTGTGAACCATCTCTATAACATTTCCTTCAAGTGTGGACACAGTGGGGATCATCTGAGGCAGCTTCTTGGTGTTTGCAAACATTAGTTTAGTCTTGTAGCAATGAGTACCAATTTTAGCTGCAGGAGTGTTTGCTGGACCACTTCAAAAGCTCTTGAATTCCTCCTTATTCTAACTTCACCAGCCCCTCTTTCACCACTTTTTTGTTTGGTGTTTAAAAGCAGCTGGATTTGATTCCTTCAAAGTGCTTCAAGCCCCGCCCCCTTACTGTTTCCAGATTGGTCCACTCCTGTTTGAGAGAGGGGCTTATGTTTTCTAGCAATGCAGACAAATGTCATGTACTATTTACAGGGTTCATGCAGGTTAGAGGTAGACCTTTTAAGACCATTAAGAATAACATTTAAGACCAAACCGAGGCATTAACAGATACATTCAAATGGTCCCAGAAATTTTAACATWGACATCTTTTATTGCTTTCAATTTAGCCATTAAAGAATATTTAATTTTAAAACAAGAACACTAATTTATTTTAATGAAATGGTCATATCTATCTAACCACTGGCACAGTGGCTCAGTTCATTGAGCTGATGCCTCTCAGCAAGAAGGTGGCCGGTTCAAATCTCGGCCTGGAGACCTTTCTGGGTACAGTTTGCATGTTCTCTCCGTGCATGTGTGAGTTTTCTCCGGGTACTTCGACTTCCTCCCACGGACCAAAAACATGACTGTTAGGATAACTGATAACTCCAAATTGTGCCTAGGTGAGAGTGTGAATGGTTGTTTGTCTCTATGTGGCCGTGTGATGGACTTGGTACCTATCCAGCATGTCCCCTGCCCCTCGCACTAGGGGCACCAGTGACACCTGTGACCCTGAAAGGAAGAAGCTGTCAATGGATGCATTATGGGTCATATCTATGAGACCTTCATATCGACTGCTGTGGACCGTGTAGTGGTCACCTTAAAGGGAATAAACAATAAACTGTCTTTGACCTTAGGCCTACGGGCCCTTTAAGACAGACAGAACTCTGTTCCAGTTAAACCGAATTTAAGCCATAAAGGTAATCTTAACCTTAAAGAGATATTCTCTTTTTCTTAATCAGATAATAAACAGAATAATCTTAATTATTTTTTTTATTTATTTTTCTTTCAACTAAGAGTTCTTATGCATTTGATAATTAGAGACAATGTTTATCAAAGTTGCTTGGAGCGTCTGTTGTAAAGTGGTTAGGGGAGTCGTCCTTGAACCGGAAGGTTGCCGGTTCGATCCCCGTCCAGTCAACTAAGTCGTTGTGTCCATGGGCAAGACACCTTGCCTACTGATGGTGGTCAGAGGYTCCGGTGGCACTTGTGTATGGCAGTTTCGCTTCTGTCAGTGAGCCCCAGGGCAGCTGTGGCTACAATTGTAGTTTGCCATCATCAGTGTGTGAATGGATGAATGTCTGTAGTGTGAAGTGCTTTAATTGTCCTGAATGGATAGAAAGGCACTATATAAGTGCAGTCCATTTACCATTTACATGAGGAAGGAGGACAGATCCTGTCCCTCTCATTGTGATTTAGTTATTTTATGGATTTTTCTGTTGAAATATCTTACTTAACTAAACTAATTGTTTTGGTTTAAGTTTTACTATGAAACATCAATGTTTTATTTGTCTGAATCATATTGCAAATGTCTTGYGTTGAAATAATTCATTCTTTCAGTGTTGGAGRGCTAATGTCAACATGACATGTGCWGCTGTGCAGATGGCCAAAAATCTGTGTTTAGTTTCAMACTGGCGATGGGCAGTCTCTGAACTAACATTTCTAATCTCACTGTTTACTAATTTATCAAACTGAGGGCAGACCTGGGAACCTTTCCCTTTTAGTGACTAAGAACTGGTCCGACCCTTAGTAAAAAGACACACTTTCTGTACCCCAACACGGAAGCAGCTGTGTTCTCTTCGCGGGGAAACAACGCTTTGGCTGTGAAATTCGGCCCATTCGCCAACAGAGAATCTCCGCAGCCGGGACATTGCRAACACATGGCGTGTCTCACAAAACACGAGCTTAAAAGTTCCACAAGTAACTTGTTTTTAAACCTTCCCCTGGGAAGGAATTTTATTTTGAAAAGGGATCCAGTTTTGCCTTGCCTCTACCCTGCGGCTTGACGCAGAACCAGACTGGCGCTGGAAGGGAACATGCCRGGAAATGTTTACAGCCAAGTAAGCAACCTGAGGGATTCCTACTGAACTTGTCTACTTTCCTACTGCCTGAACCGTTGAGGGATGACTCTCATCYTCAAGGGAAAAGTTGGCTGTTCTGAGTGTACTCCTGGTTCTGGCTTAGTCCGAGTGAAAGACACTTTGCCTTTCTGGTTAAACCCACTTTCTTTAAAATAAAGTTAAAAGAACAAATCTCACCTTCCTCCTTTTCTTAAACTATCTGCCTTGCCAAAACCTAAGTTTTGGCAAGGCAGGTAGTTAATTTGTCATATTAAAAATTAATTAAGCTCGGACGCATTCTTATTGTTGTTAATTCTTAAACTTTATAGGAAAATTGATTGTCCACAATAAAATTGTTCACTCATAATTAGTTTGATTTATGTAAATAAACGATCTCGTTTGTTGCTGGATCAAATCCAATTCACTGAGTTGAATCACTTATTGTGTGTTATTCCCATTTGCACAAAGGAGGRATTTCCTTAATAAGCCAAGAACACTTGATAAATATTTTCCCTATAACTTTAATTATAAGAGGTGTAAGTACTCTTACAACCACTTCCAACCAAGTGCAAAAATCACTGATATCAAGCCAAGTCTTATTGAAAACACACTTTCCTATGTTCAAAGGACAAGRAGCAGACATGACTGAACAACTTTGTTATTTGGGCAAGTGAACAAGCTCGTATGCAGGGGGTTGTAGCGACAAAGAGGTCAAAAACYTGCAAGTAAACTGTTCCGTCAGCTGTAGTAGTTTAACCATGTACCATGACTGGTAGCAAACGTAGCATCTCATGAAGACAGACCAAGTCAGTCTCTGATTACTGTGCTTTACTCTGTTTATTTACAGTACGCAACCAATGCTTCTTGAGAATGATCAAAAGTAAAATAATAATAATAATAATAAGACTTGTCAAAATGAAATTTAAGAACTTAGATGAAAATCTAGGCACTTTTAGGCCTAAAATTTAGATTTTTGAATTTTAGACTTTTTTTTACTTTTTAAAACCCTGGATGAACCCTGTTTTCAATTAAAATATGTCAACAACAGAAGACTTGTTCATCCAGCCTTACATGTTGGACTCAGAGTCTGACCCAGAACAAGAGGACAATTAAGATGAGGAAATTGTAGTTGGTAAGCCCAGACCTTATATGGTAATTCTCTTGCAGATTATTGGACGTACTYGTTCAGAAAATGTAATAGAAAATYGAGAAAACTGAATGGGCTGAAAATTTGACTCAAACAGAATATAAAGATATCTATGCAGAACCAGAAGYGACTAAGTTKAACTTTTCTGCATTCACAGAGCCTCCAAGTACACAACAAAATATTTAACAGCTAAAAAAGTGGATTTTGCAGGACATGTCCATTTTATAACAACACAAAGAAAATTTCAGAGCAGAAATACAGGTAGGCTTGACTTGAATTGACTGTGTGCAAGACAAAAAACCCCCACTGTTATTAATATGAAAAGTTGAATCCTTGTAAACAATTGACACATAAACACAAGTTAAGTGATTAATTTGCTAAAAACACATTTTGACTGTTAAACAATTACCCTGAGCTAGAAACTGGATAACAACTAGTCACACTGTACCATTTTTGATGACTAATGATGTGGAGGTGGAACAGGTGGGTCCAGAAGTCTCACTTGTCTCTGGGCTGGATGGAGTTGGTGGACTGCGGCTCCAGGAAGTAATCGGRGCCCTCTGGGAAGGCAGGAAGCTGGTGGGCTGGGAGCAGTTCTGTCAACACACACCACAACCCAGTCATGGTTAGAGTTATGGTATGATTYTGGACTGGATGTGGCGCAGGGGCTGGTTACTGGAAAGTCACAGGTTTGATTCCCTGCCATGCTTATGTTTTGTTGTGTCCTTGGGAAAGACACCAATTGTCTAACTTCTCTCTGGGTGCTTACATAGCTGCCTGCCGCTCTGCCTAGGTGTATTGCACATGGGATTGGTTAAATGCAGAACACAATTTTTTGTCAATGTATGGGAACACACAATGATGACATCACACATTTCACATTCAATTACTGTAAATTTGGGGTGAGTTTGTTTCTATCACTGCTGTGTGCTTCTGTTTACTTACTGTAAAAGATAAGGCCTTTCTCTTTTCTCTGATTCTTTTTATGGCATTCCTCACCTAAATCAGACACATATTTTAAAACCATTTATTAGTCCAAAAAGTCTTACATGCTTTATAAAGAGACAAAGGCAACTGCTGACAATGACTTGAACATATCTTACCTCACTGTTGTAAACAGCATAGACTAAGAAGATGTAAAGGCCCTGTGAAGAGGAGAGAAACACACAAAAAAACATTAACAATGAGCAAAAGAGAACAAAAATATTGACAGTGTACTTTGTAACCTCAGACAAACTATGCTTTTATTCTTACAAAAAAATCATTTTTGCAAACTTGGTTCTATTAAGTTTTTTCTCCTTTAGAACAAGAAACTCAGTCAGATTCACAAAAGTTTTCTTTTTAAAGTCAGCCAAACTAAATCCAAAATTAATCCACTTAGTTTGAATAAAAGACAAAACCTCTATCAAAAATATATATTTTAAAATAGTCTTTTTTTCTCAGAAACTAAAATTTGTTGACCTTGAGTATGCCTGAATATTGAAATACAGCAATAAAGTGGTGGCTTCACCCAGCTAACAAAGTAAGTACAGTAAACACTGCTAACAAAGTCTTGCAACAGAAATGTCACCAAGATTGGAACTAAACTAGTTTTTACGTGGGTTGTAGAAGAAACAGGCCAAATATTTAGACAAATTGCTAAGCTGTTCTCAGAAACTTGCTGCCATATAAACATGCAAAACATGCTCTCATGTGATGTTCAGCTACTTACAAAAAAATCATAACATTTTTAGAACATAATGRTACTACTGAAGTATATTTCAATGCTTATGTGATTTATACAACCATGGAATATTTAAAAACAATACTCTCAAAAGTCTTGAGCATGTTAGCCATCAGAGAGTACATTTTGGACCACAGACTCCCACTGAACTATTTTGTCAGTACGACTAAATTGCTGTTTCACATTTTTAACCTACACATTCTCACTCCCATGTCGTCACATATTGACGCTTTTCCAAAGTCCCCTCTACGTCAGATTTTGACGCGCCGGGTACCCCCCTCGCGTCAGTCCTTGACGCCCGCGGCTTTTCCGGGTTGCGCCACCAGGGGTCTTTGGGTCGGGGGTCTGAGGTTAACATGAGGGATCAGGATTAATGGTTAAGTTTAGGTACTGGGATCAGGGGTAGGATGTCCATGGTGAATATTAGGTAATTTCAGGCTTTGGAACATGTTGACGTGAATTTCCTACATTTTCTAAAAATGGTTAATTTTAGGTACTAGGGTCAGGGACAGGATGTCTAAAGTGAACAAAGGTAATTTAAGGCTTCGAAACGGTAGTTTTTGCGCTTTTTCTACACTTTCTGAAAATATGACAACAGATTTCGCCCCATCTCGTCAGTAACTGACGTGACGGGGGTACCCGGCGCGTCAAAATCGGACGTAGAGGGAACCTTGGAAAAGCGTCAATATGTGACGACATGGGAGTGAGAATGGGTTGTTTTAACAGGCTAACCTTGCTGGCCTTGAGTCTTGCTCAGTCTGTAAACAAATTGAAACTGATTGACATAAAGCCAATTCTTTTTAGCAAACTATTCAGAAGGCACATATTTATCTACTATGAGGATTGCAATCATTAAAAAAAATCTAAAATCGTAAATAAACAAAACAGATAATTAATTAAGGGTTCAGGCATTTGTGCACATCTAAAACTTAAACTGTTTAGGTGATTTCAGGAGATCATCTAAGGTCTTGATGGTTTTGGCCACTTTATACCCTGACCTCTATTGGGTATATTCATTATATGTGAAATAAAATACACTGGATATAAATATATACCTGCTTTCTGTTTCGTTGATAGTGAGTCTTTGCCTCATGTGAAGGAATTGGAAGATGTTGTTCCTGTCTGTCGAGGTAAAGCTCTCAATTTACTGGTCTGTCTACATTTCAACCCTCACATATACGTAGTTATGCTTTATGATTAATGACCGAAATAATGAGATCCTGATACAAGCAGCTGAAAGCTTTCTCTGTTGGGTGTCTGGGTTCAGCCAGAAAAATAAGACGAAGAGCCCCAACATCCAAGGGTAGCTCAAAGTAGAGCCACTTCTCTTCTGCTTTGAAATAAGTCAGCTGAGAGGATTTAGGCAACTATGCCTCCCAAATGCCTATGTCTAGAAGTTTTCAGAAGTTGCTGGTGGGATCCTCTCTGACATGGAAAAGCCTTGGGATCACAAAGGAGGAGCAGGAAAGTGTCACCGGGGAGACGGATGTCTGAGTCTCCCTGCTGGACCTTAGCTCCACAAACTAAATGTGGATAAACAGCAGAAAATGGAGGGATGAAGGGAGGATGGCTGGATGGATGGATGGATGATGACGGAAGGGTGGATGGATGCATGGATGGATGGATGGATGGATGGATGGATGAATGGATGTATGGATGGATGGAGTGCTGATGGATGGATGGATGAATGGATGGATAGGTGGATGATGGATGGGTGGATGATGGATGGGTGGATGGATGGATGATGGATGGATGGATGGATGATGGAAGGATGGATGGATGGAGTGATGATGGATGGATAAATGGATCATGGATGGATGGATGGATGGATGGATGGATGGATGGATGATGGATGGATGTGTGAACTGCATATTTGGCCATTTTAAAAGAAAACTTGATTAACAGCAGAACAAGCCTGACAATAACGTGTTTTTCTGATTTTTTTCTACATTTCAGGCCTACTATGCATTATAGTGGTTGTTGCCTGGCAACACTTTTGCTTTGCTGGGCTGTAAAAGTGTTGAAACATAACAGAAAAAGCAAGAAATAGAAACAAAAAGAGAGTGCTCATATTGTAAACTAACTTTTCAGCTGAGTAGATGCACTTGTTGACACTCGATTTCATTGAAAGTTTTATTAATTTTTTTTAATAAACTGCATTGTCAGTCACTGATTAGTTCGTCTGACTTCCTCTGCTGATGAAGTTGGCCTTGCTTGTGGTAWAATCATAAGGTTCAGTTCTTGGTTCGACATTATTCAATAGTTATATTATTCCACTTGTATAAGTCATTAAGAAATATAACTTAAAAATGTAGAAACATTCATAAGGTTCCTCAGAAGTCTAAGTCTTGTTGGTTGAATTTTGAACACTTTAAAATAATTTGTGTTACAGCTTCTTTTCCTAAAATCACCCCAAACTTGCTGCAAACATCCCAAATCCATCTTTTTTTCCATGAGCTGTATTTGAACTCTCCTTATACAAGAAGACACCCAAGGCTACAACACTGTATGTTTGAATTATGTCATTGGTAGATAATAAGTATATAAAAAAAATCTTGTCCAACGTGTACAGTGGGTGGCTTGGCCCAGTGGTAGGGAAGTCATCTTTCAATTGAGGGGTCAAGGTTTCAGCCCCCAGTCCCTGCAGCGCACCAAAGTGTATTTGCTCAGTTATATTACCAAGTTTTCATCATTTGTATTTTTTTTGTGTATTTAGTATAAGCACTTTGAAGATTCTGTTCTTATTCTAAGCATGTGTAGCATCAAGGAACCCCTTCTTTTATAATCTTTAACCTATTTTCATCTTTACAGCTACAGCTTTGTGTAAAAAAATAATTTTCTTATGACTAAATCTCTGATACTGTTCAGATAGGTTGTTTTCTGAGGCTTCACACACTTGGAATATCTTTTCAGTAGAGACAAGTAGAGTGAAGGACAAGTAAAGTGTTCTTAAACTTTTTATACTAAGAAGAGAAACGATTTATGCAGGAATGAAATGGGTTCTTTTAGTTTGGGAATTTGTAAAAATCTGTAGAAAAAAGAATGTTGATGATTTATGCTTTAATTTTCAAAAATTAGTCAAGTATTATTTTATTGACAACCGCTGGCTATTTATTTATTTATTTATTTATTTATTTATTTATTTATTTATTTATTTATTTATTTATTTATTTGTCATTGCAGTAGACAGTCCAGTGATCCTGCTAACAGAAGCTCTTTGAACAGAAAAAGATAAGACTTCTGTGTTGGTGCTCAAGTTCCTGACCTTGTAAAATTTTGATTGACAAAATTTTGACGTCTTTCCACTTTAGATAAAACAGAGGAACCCTGGCTCTTTGCCCACTTGTTTTTATCAGTGTCTTTGTCTTTGTTTTCTGTGCTGGTCCCTTGTCCTCATCTTCCCTAAAAGTGTTTAATTTTTGCTTAGGTTGAACACATTTTTTGTGTAGARATATTTTGCAAAGTCCAGCAGTAGAAAATCTAGAAAAAGTAAAGTTGTAACAAAGTACAAATACTTTGTTACTGTACTTGAGCTCATCTGTCCGTCCGTTTTCTTCCTCTTATCTGGGGTCAGGTCTTGGGGTCAGCAGCCTAAGCAGAGAGACCCAGACCTCCCTCTCCCCAGCCAATTGGGCCAGCTCATATGAGGGAATCCCAGGGTGTTCCCAGGCCATCTGAGAGACATAGTCCACCTCAACTGGTTCCTCTCAACGTGGAGGAGCAGCGGCTCTACTCTTGAGTCCCTCCCGTATAACTGAGCTTCTTACCCTATCTCTAAGAAAGAGCCCAGACACCCTGCAGAGGAAACTCATTTCGGCCGCTTGAATTCACGATCTCGTTCTTTTGGTCACTACCCAAAGCTCGTGACCATAGATGAGGGTAGGAACGTTGACCGTGTTTAAACTGAACGCTTCACCTTTAGGCTCAGCTCTCTCTTCACCACAACCAATCGGTAAAGCACCCGCATCACTGCAGACACATTGATGRACTTAAGTAGAACTTAGTTCTACCATTCTACCACTTTATGAAACAGTATTGGTTCACTTAAAGTWAATGGTCAAGAACTTTAAAATGCATGGAATTCTGTGTATATTTCTACTAAGTAGAACAGTACTTAAGTAGAAACGAGTATTTTTTTCAGCTGACTTTTAACTTCTACTCCTTATATTTTTTAAAAAAAGGAAAATGTTGAAAGCCATTCTTTCCTTTCCTACTTTATGTTTGGCTTGTTTTTTATTCCAAAATTTAAAAAAATATATCCAGATACACATAATGGAGCCTCCTGGATATAGTGAGTTAACAGTCTTTGGATGATAAGTATAAATATATACAATTCTGACACCCAACTGGTTTGTCCTGATGCATCACACCTAGGTGACACAAATCACATCACACTCCAGCAGATCATAGCAGCTGTATGTC